TTTTGTGGGGTTTTCTCCATGCCCTTACTTCATCCTCCTCCTTACCTCTGACTTTGCTGGTTGACATGTGAATGTCTGTACCAGGAGCAGTACTCCTAACAAGTCTGGTGCTGGGGATGCTTATTTTCTACAGGTATTGTTGGTGTTTTGATGAATTTTATATTATTTTTTGTCCTGGTAAGAAAAAAAAGGGGGAAGCACACTCCATCCTTAGAGGAAGGCTCATACCCTGCTCCGACAGCTCATACCTCTGTTGGCAGCAGAGGATGCATTGGCAGCTGTCTGTCTATCTGCCTAGCAGACGGCAGGGTACATGTGCATCTTATGGATTAACCCTGTGGTTCTCAGCCTCTTCATACTTGCAACGTCCCTCCATAGACTCAAGGCCCCTCTTGAAACACATCAGCTCTTAGTTTTCCCTCCTCTTTTGACTATGGAAAAATTCTGAGCAACTCTTCTGTTGTGAAGGACTCGGACATCAGCAGGGCAAAGTGTTTTAATCACCCTGAATTCCTAGTTGAAAATCCTAAGTTTTTCTTGTGAAGCATGCCCATCCCCCTAAGAGCGCTAACAGAGTGTGGGCCCTCGATAGGAGCCCAGGGCACCCCAGGGGGCTACAACACTCTGCTTGAGACTCAGTGGACTAAATGGGTGTGACACTTAGTAGACTATGTGAGTGCGAGGACTAATGTGTGTGTGAGAGAGAGAGAGAGAGAGAGAGACTCAATGGACTAATGCATGTGCCTTTGTCATAATCAGTGGACTAACGTGTGTATGAGAGACACAGTGGACTAATGCATGTGCCTGTGTGTGAAACTGGGCTAACGTTTGTGTGTGCATGTGACAGTGGACTATATCTGTGTGAGTGACAGTGGACTGTGTGGACAAACTGTGTGTGTGTGTGTGTGAGAGAGAGACAGAATGTGTGTGTGAGAGTGACACTGGACTAGTGTGTGTGATACTCAGTGGACTTGTATGTGTGTGAGACTGGATTAACATCTGTGTATCTGACATTGGACTAATGTGTGTGTGTGGTGTGTGAGAGAGAGACTCAGTGGACTAACATGTGTGAATGTATGTGACACAGTGGACTAACGCAAGTCTGTGTGTAACAGCGGACTAACGTGTGTGACACTCGGTGGGCTAAAGTGTATGGGTGTGGGTGACTGGATTAGCGTGCGTGTGTGTGACAGTGGACTAATGTGTGTATGATGCTCAGTGGACTAATGTGCATGTGATGCTCAGTGGACTAACGGGTCTGAGACACTGGACTAGTGTGTGTGTGACACTCAGTGAACTGTTTGTGCATGTGGCTGTGTGTGTGTGTGTGTGTGTGTGAGAGAGAGAGATACTCAGTGGACAGTGTGTGCATACGTGTGTTTGTGAGCTACTCTGTGCACTGTCATACACATAATGACACGTTAGTCTGCTGTCATACACAGACGTTGGTCCACGGAGCATCACGCATGCGTCAGTGTGTTAGTTCATTTAGTGCAACACACACGTTAGTCCACTACCACGTGTCTGTTACTCTGTGGACTAACGTGTGCGTGCGTGCGTCCCTGTGAACTGACGGACACACACACGTTCGTCCACTGAGTGTCACACAAACACTAGTTTCCCCCCCGCCGTGGGCTGTGCGGGTCAGATGCCGCCGCGGGCACGATCTGCCCTCCCGCCCTTCGCCGGACAGGCCGGCCCCAGCAGGGGGCGCCGCGCTCCTCTTCCGTCTGGTCACAACTGAGGGTGGCGCATGCGCATTGGCTAGGACTGAGGAAAGCGGCACCTGCCCCTCCCCCGGCTTCCCGGATCCGGCCCGCGCGGGTCCCGGATGTAGCGGCGAGGCTGGGGAGCTGCCGTGGGGCCTTGCGCCGGGGGTGGGTGGGGGGATTCGCGCAGGTCGGGGCGCCGCTGCCCTGCTCCGCGCCGCTATGAGCAGCTCGCGCAACAACCGCGTGATGGTGGAGGGGGTGGGGGCGCGCGTGGTGCGGGGCCCCGACTGGAAGTGGGGGAAGCAGGACGGCGGCGAGGGCCACGCGGGTACCGTGCGCAGCTTCGAGAGCCCCGAGGAGGTGGTGGTGGTGTGGGACAACGGCACGGCCGCCAACTACCGCTGCTCCGGGGCCTACGACCTGCGCGTCCTCGACAGCGCGCCCACCGGTGAGCGGGGGGGGGGCCCGTGTTTGTCTCCTTTGAACCCCCCCCCTTATTTTTTGCTTGGCACGTTTCTCCCCTAAGTAAAGGGCACTTGTGTTGAAGGCTTGCAGAGAACCATTTTTTCCAGCTGGTTAGTTGGTCTCATGAAAGGTATTGCATCTGCCCAAAGAGCCGGGCACCGCAAACTGGGTTTCTGGGGTGGGGGTTGGGGCTGCCTGTAATAAAGCCTGCTGCCTGGCAGTGGTTGGGGGTGTATGAGCCTGGAGGATGTGTCCTCTTTGCGAATGTGGTGGTGGGGGAGGACCGCATAGTCCCAGGCCATGGGTGTTTTTGGATCAGGACCCGTTTGTAAACACTGATGGCCCAGTCACAACCTAGTGCTCCTCGCTTGTGACCCACTGCCCCCACCCCCCCATTGTGTGGGGCAGGATGGGGTGTGCATGCAGCAGCCCCTTGCAGGCTGAAATTCTGCCATCCTGCTAGGGAAAAGCCACCATTTCCCGCATTCTTCTTTGTTAAAGGAGAATCCATTTTTAAAGTTTGTGCACGACCTTATGTAGTCTTGCGACCCGCTTTTGGGTCGTGACCCACATGTTGAGAAACACAGGTTTAGTCCCACCCCCTGCTCCAAGCAGCTCCAGCTGTAACTGCATCATCCCTGCCAAGACTTTGTCTAGCCAGGGCTTAAAAATCTCCATGGGTGGAGATGCTGCAGCCTGTCTGGGCAGCATGTGCCAGCGCTTTGCTGCCCTACTCGTGAGAGAGGTTTTCCTTATGTCTCTCTGTAACTTTCCTTGTTTGGGTTGAGCTCTGGGGGCATTTATTTATACACATACGTTTGTCTGCTCTGATGTACCGGAAATCCAGAATGTGAGTGGATGTGCCCGGCGCTGCATCACATTCATTTGTATAAATGGCGAAATGTGTTGGCGCTGAGAAAATGGCCACAGTGAACTTTTGAACTAGACACCTTTGGTGCGTTTTAATTCAGAAGTGCGCTGTCACCGTTTTTTCAGTACTGATGTGCATTTTGCCGTTCATACAAATCATGTGTTTTAGTTCAAAAGTGCGCTGCCGCCACTTTCTTAGCGCTGACGCATTTTTGCCATTTATACAAATGCATGTGCCACAGTGCTGGGCACTTTTAAAAGCACCCGGTGCTGTGACGCAAGCATGTGTACAAATGCCCTAAGGGAGGAGCCTGCTTAGAAATAACTTCTGCATCTGAAAGACCTCATGGAGGCATCCCTCCCTGTTCAAAGATTGCCCCCCTCCCCATTTTTTACAAGTGAGGGTGTGGCATTCACCCTTTTAAAAGCATAGCCTCAGGGCTGATGCCTCAGTCCATGCTCAAAAATAGCAAGGCTTATTCATTACAGGAACTGCTTGTACCAAGCCTTTGACACTTAGTGAAAGGCCCTGTCCCTGGTTTCCCAAAGTGCTTTCTGGGCCTTAATACCCTTGGAATTGACAGGGCCTAGTTAGTACTAGGATGCCTCTGCAACCTTGAAATTGATATAGTAGAGTAAGGGTGATGTTGTAGCCATGGTGGTCCAGAAATTATGCAAGGCACAGATTTCTTAGGATGGTATCTTTTATTGGACCAACTATGGAGTTGGGGTAAAGTTAGACAAGCTTTCAAATGTGGTGAGGCCTGCAGGAGCGCAGTCACAGCAGCAGCTGTTGCACCTTCCATTCGAAAGCTTGTCTGACTTTATCCCAGCTACATAGTTGGTCCAATAAAAGGTATTGCCCTAAGAAATCTGTGCCTCTCATAGAAATTGATAGTTTTACTAGTTACAAGGAGTGCAGTTCAAGTGTTCATGTGCTTTAGCACTTCATGCACTTAACTAAAATGCAGGTAACCAGAATTTTTTACAATTCTGTAAGCAGGAGGTAAAAAAAGACAAAATTGGGATGGGATATTGTATTATGTGGTCAAGGAAATTATGTGCTTATCCAATATGCATATAAATGAATTACTCTATGCAAGAAATTATATTAGAGTTCCTGCTTTGTACTAGTGACAAATCATACTCTCATGCTGCTTTGGAGAAACTCTTAGCATGCTTTTTTAAAGTCTTTGCAAGGGTTTTTTTTTACTGTTAAAACTAAATAGGGTTTCTGTTCCTGAAGTTTGTGCCCATTTGGGCATCCCCTTTGAACTGCTGTATGAAGCTAGCAAGCTGCTAGATTTAGCTGGTGAGGGTTTGTATGCTAAGCAGTAAGGAGAAGGACAGTAATGTTTAAATAGTGAGGTCCAATCTTTTTGGCAGACGTGCCACAAATTAGTTCCACACCCTCCCTGAATGCCACTCTGATCTTCTTCCCAATCCTCTGCTCTGCTTCCTGCTTCTTGTCCTATGCTGCCTACCTGACTTGCTGATGTGTTTTCTGCCATATCTGACACTGTGCTTGTCCCTGCCATATCTGACACTGCTTTTTGGCCACCTGTCATTTAAAGGACAGGTCACCAGAATAAGACATAGTTTGGGTTATAATAAGAGTTTTGGTACTAATATCATAGAATCATAGAATCAGTGAGTCGGAAGGGACCTAGACAGATCATCTAGTCTGACCCCCTGCCATGGGCAGGAAGGAGCACTGGGGTGGGAGGGGTCATAAGACCCCAGCCAGGTGCCTATCCAGT